GGATGCTGAAGACTAGCTGCCATCCTCACTGGGTTCTGTTCGGCACAGGGCCAGGACAAAGGCCTTCTTTGCCTACCCAGAGTGGCTCTAGGGAGGCAAGGACCAACAGAACAACAAGACCTTCTGGTCCAGGTGGCTTGTCTCAGCCTGTAGGATTCAACCATCCACAGAGCCATGGAGCCTCCCCAGGGCCATAGATAGTCCCATGCATCTTTCCACATTATCTGCTATGCTCTCCTGTGGCTCTCCCTACCCCAGCTAGGTCAGGGCCCCTTCTGGGAAAAGGAAAGCCAAGGCAGGGATCTGGAAGGAGACCTTCCCCACACTCCTAGTAATCAGGACTACGACTCCATTTTTCTGTGAAATTTCTCAAGGCAGGTCCTGGCAGATTTTCCAAGCAGAAAGGACCAGTCCAGGGCCCGGGGAGATGGGTCAGCAGATAAAGTACTTGCTGTATAAGTATGAGGGCCAGTGTTCAGATGCCCATCCTGGGAAGCAGAGACTGGGGATGCCCAGAGCAGATGATTAGCTGATTAGCAAAACTCCAGGTACAGCAAGGGACCCCAACTCAGTTAATAAAACAGAAAGACACCAAGGAAGACACAAGTTGTCAACCCCTGACCTTCACACACATTCAAACATATGTGCCTGCCTACTTACACACATATGTGAAAAACATACACACACATGCACAGCACTCACACATATGAACAAGTTCATGCACACAGGCACAAGCAGGCAAACGCTTTGGGTAACCCTTTGGACAGTCTGTCTGCCCACATCTCATCAGGCTGTGGGAATCTTCCTTGCCCAGCTTGCCACTATGGGGCCGCCAGCTAGTCTCAGGGTGTGCTCTGGGAAGGGGAGAAGCCCAGAAAAGTCAAGAGAAAGAGAGGCTTGAAATTAAGTTTCCACTGCCAGTGATGCCAAGGACCAAAGCCTGCCTTACACAGGCAATCTCCAGGCAGGGGAGCAGAGTGTTGTGGAGGCAGGCTTCTCCAGAGTGGTACCAGTATTAGGTAGACTCAATGGGCAGAAGGGCGGCGGCGGCGGGGGTAGGGGGGAGCAGTAGGCATCCCTGGGGCTCTGGTGGTCACTTCAAGTCTGAGTCCTTCAATCCACCGGAAGTAGAATATTTTCTAGGGGACAACAAGATCCTGTATGTTCTCCTTGATTTGAGCAGGCAGGTCTTTGCAGGAGGGTTTAGAAGGGTACTGCAAAGTTCTGGAGCAGAGGCCTACCTGGCCACAGACAATTCTGCCATGGGAAGGAAGGGAACAGGACAAAAGGCTGTTTGGTGGAGGATGTTGGGACCAAAAACGTACCATTCGGGAGACCAGGAGACAATTGAGGGTAAATGAAGCAGACGGGTCTACGGAGACTGGTGGGCTCAGCTTGGCTCACCTGGTCCCCACAGTACTAGCTTTAGACTCAGTCCATTGGCTACTGGAGGGCCTGAGACACATCGCTACTCCGAGTCACCTTTAAAAGTTTGTCCTCAAGCAAAACCTCTCTCGGCTCCCGCCTGCATCCCTAGGGGAGGCTCTAAAGACAATGCGATTACCCCCTCCACTCCTTCAGAAACAATGGGCAGACAGCAGATAGAGAACCAGGGAAGCAAGTGTGGAAAATTCCCCAATTTTACAATGTCAACTGCTGAACGGGGGAGCAGCCGTAGGCTGTGCCCCCGCGTGTCCGCCTGCGGGACTGCACTATCGGGGATGGGGGGCGGGTGTGGATTGATCTCCTGGTTCTCAGACTATGAGGACGCATGGCAGGTAGGGAATTATGTTAGCGTGCTAAAGACGAAATCTTACTCTTTTCTCCAACAGAAGTACGGTAACCACTTTTCATTGAGTCATCACATCCTGCCACTATCTGTATCCTTTTCTTTTTCCTCCATGTTAGTTCAGAGCTCTCAAGTATGCTTTCAGAGGACAAAGGTAGGGACAAAGTAGTATCTGAAACAGAGTCTGGACACTGCCTCCAGCAAACACTTAGCTGGGCTTGTTCTGTTCATGTGCTCTCCTAGGGCTTTGGGGAGCCCTGGCTACCAGGGAGAGAAAGGAAATAGCAAACAGAACCCTTACTGAGTGCCAGATGACAGCTGGGCCTCATCGATCTCATTGGCAATCCACAGCAAACCCTCAGTGTCACATTTCTGCCAGATTTTCAGGAGAAAAAGCCTGGTGAAGCCTAGCTAGTTAGGCTGCCAAAGCCTCACTTCTTGACTTAAGACTTGGGGAGCTTGATTCCGGGGTAGTTCACACTCGCTGATTGCTCGGGAATATATCAAGATGCACCAGGATTGCCCACACAGTAAAACCTTCTTGTAAGAGAGGGCTCCCTGGCTAATGAGGGGATTCTTCAACCATTCTGGCAAGAATGAGGTTTGAATAAACAGTCAGCCTCTCTAGCTAGATAAGATGCTGTTGATCCTTGAGCCAGAGTGCTGTGGTTGTCCTATACCTATACAACCGCTTTGTACCTATACCAGACTCGTCTCCCTTCACGGGGTTTCAGTTTTTCCATCGGCACAGTCAAGCATAGGTATTTTCTTTTGAATACTGAGGGCCACTTGGCAATAGAGACCACCGTGGTGGCCCTCTAGACCCTCAGTGCTTCTACCTCTGGCCTGGGGAACAGAGATGAACACAGGTGGGGCAGGGGGAGAACTCTGGAAGGGGTTTCACCTGGCCAGCGAGAAGTTTGTCTGGCTCTGGAGTGTGCACCCTCCCCCCCCCACAACCTCAGTTTTCTCTTTTATAGAATGGTTATTACAGCCTGTGCTTGCAAGGCCTCCTGCTGGGGTTGGAAATAAGGTATCCGCTGTGCCTGGCACCAGAGTAGCCCTATTTAGGATTTGACTCTTGGCAGAGCCTTTGCATTTGGGCAAAAAAACATCTGATGTGTTAGTTGCAGCAATGCCCTGCAAGTCTGAACTGCCGTGTCAACCAAGCCCCATGCAGGAATACCACCGTGCTCATCTACTAAAAGGGAGAATCCTCGTCACATTGCTGTGTCTCTGCCCCTAAGATGGGCGGGGCAAAGGGCCCTGTATCTCACCAAGGGCACCCCTTCCCCAGGATCTATGTCATATGTAATGTGTTCAAGGCCAAGTACCCATTGGACCATAGTGGTTACTTCTTTGGTCTGTCTGCAAAACTTCATGTTCTCGCTCTCTGTCTCTCTCTCTGTCTCTCTCTCTGTCTCTCTCTCTCTCTCTCTCTCTCTCTCTCTCTCTCTCTCTCTGTGTGTGTGTGTGTGTGTGTGTGTGTGTGTGTGTGTTTGTAGGATAGAGGACAATGGACAACCTTGGATATTGTCCTTTGTGAGGCACCCACCTTGTGCCTTTTCATGACAGTGTTTGACATTGACCTGCTACTCACCACATAGGTTAGACTGGCTGGCTTGCAAACCCCAGGGATCTGCCCATCTCCCTTCTTCCCCAGGCCAGGAATTGCAGACAAATGCAAGCATGTCTCACATTTTAAAGGTGGGTTCTGGGTCCTGAACACAGACCCCCGAGGAGTTGGATTTAAGCATGTTTGCGTTCTCTCCTTTTCTCTGTTTACTTGGGGTATGGGGGACTTCCAGGCTTGACCTTATTTTCAACAGTCGTTTTTGACATGCAGTAAATGCTCTGGACCCCTAGTGCCATCCCCTCCCCCTCTTCCTCTTGATTCACACCTTAGCAAGACAGAACCGGGGCGTCACCCAGCAGTACTTAATGTGGGTACCTGAACCTGACAGCTGTTGTGCCTCCCAGAGGCCATGCTGGCCTGAATCCAAAAGCTAGAGCCCATCCCAGCTGCCCTAGGGTGTGGAATTCTGGACGGGTTATCTCACGTCCCACCTCCAGCTGCTCCGGTGGCCTAAGTATAGCTAGGGGCCCAGCAGAGAGTATAATATTGTATAGGCTGCATGGAGCTGCTCACTGGAGCCTCCAGCTTGCAAGCTAGAGCCTGGGATTGGGTTGGGGGCCCACGCTGCACTCCACTGCAGGTAAAAGAAAACCAGTCAAGGATGTAGGTCCTTCCTTACCAACCTTAAAAAAAATTAAAAAAATAAAAAGGAAGTTGGAATTTTAAAAATGTCTTTTAACATTGGTTCAATTTTTCAAAACTGTTTTTTGGAGTATGACCAGGATCAAAACAATGCATACTGGAGGAAAGGGACAACACAAAGCTGATCTTTGGGTCTTTGCAGACATTTAGCTTATCTTCACTTAGGGCTTCGGGTCATTGTCCCAATGCCACCAGGGTAATGGTGAAATCCACCTGGATCCATGCCCTCAACCTTTCTTTCCCTTCCCCACCCCCGATGGTAGCCCCAAACCTCATGGTAGTCCCAACTCCTAGCGCTTTCCAACTTGGAACTTCAGATCGTTCAATGTGAAGGTCAAAGCCCCCGGTATTCCCGTGGGAGCGCAGGTGAGACAAACTGTCCTGAGAAGGCTCCCAAAGCCATGGCCAAGGCCCAAAAGAACCACCCACTCATGAGCTCAGGACAACCCAGCCGCCACCTACAGGCCTGCGAGCTGGAACCAATTCCCTTTCCGTAGCGATCAGCGGAGACAGAGTGTGAGAGACACGCG